TCCTGCAAAGTTTGATTCTTCAGTATATTTGACTAAGACCTATTTTGGGTTAAATTTTAGAAGTTTTAGTTTTGTTTGTGTATGTTTAATTTGTGGTAGTATTGGTACTGTTTTTCTGTAGCCCTCACAAAACCCTGAGTCTTCCAGAGAAGTTTTTTCTTGGTCTCAAGACAATGACAAAACCAGGAAATGTCAACTTCAGGTGTGAATGCTTCAAAAAATAAAAAACATGGAAAACAACAGCCTTTATGGCTTTTATCATAATTGGAACTCTATGGCAACCTTTACTATGCTGCCTCATACTAATTATCCACTGTTTGAAAAAATTGTCTGTGTGCGTTTGCAGTACTTAAGCAACTCAATCTCGTTTGAGTCAAAGGGAATACTTTCTAACATCTTTAATGGTTCAAGCTTTAAAACAGTAAAATTATCGTGAACAAAAAGTACTCAAAGGTTGACTGGTCTTACAAGTGATGCTTTGGCTGATCCTTAAAACTCTCTTTTTTAATTAGCTTCTCTATCTTTTTCTTAGGCAGCAGAGTGGGTAGAAGGTGCCACTGAAGATGGTCATACCTATTACTATAACACACAAACAGGAGGTAAGGAGAGCTTGTTTTCCAGTTACGCTCCATTTCAGAAGAGAGAGCTTTCAGACCAGCGTTTTATTTTGCAAATAGCTATGTTTTCAGGCCATTACGAAGTTTTGTATTAAGCTGTTACCTTAGTTGAAATGGCTTAAGTCAGCTTTGTCTTTATAGCTTTATTGTCAGTGTGTGTGCATTTGTGATTCATAGGTTTTTTAGACATTGAACTTATAACTCTAAAATGTGAGTTGTTCTTTTTTACATCTATATTGAAATTATAGTTTGGAAACCAGAAAGAGGCAGAATTTTGTTTTGACGGGTATGCAGGACTAAATAGGAATCTGCTACACTTTTCCTCTTGCTGACATGGCATTGATAAGAGAGTCCAAAAATCTTACCTCTTACTTCTTTTCCCCATTTTTTTACATGGAGAACTTTGTGCTAACTCCCCAGAACAGGCATCTGTTTTTTAAATCTGTGTGAATCATTTTAAGGTCAATGATGCCTCTCTGGCAAGCAAGTGATTTTATGCTGGCTACGAGTTTTCCTTCTGCCATTGGGTATGAAGTGGGATTCCTGACGATGCCAAGAATAGAAATAAACAACCAAAACCTTTCAGTTTCTCAGCATGCCACTCCCCTGCTCAAAGGATTTGCTATTTTTTTCTTCTGAAAGGAAAATGAGATGCTGGTTATTTTTAAACATTGCCTTCTGAGTTCAGATACGTTTTATGCCTTTAGTCGTATTGCTTTTTAAACTTCTTCATGGACAGATGACACTTCATGAAGAATGTCTTTGTAATCATTGTATTTGGTAAAATTTTGGCTTACGAGATTTTAAAGTGATCCCTTACTTTTATATAGCTGTAAGTATCTTGGAAATGCTTGAAAACTACTTGTCAGTTCTGTTAACACTAATCCCATCCTCTAAGACAAGACAAATTGTTAACCAAGCGGACTGATCGTGGTTTCTCATCTGAAGCATGTAACTTAAGAGGCCAGTATCTCTAGGCTTAGCTCTTGCTACGAGTCGTGCTTTGGGAGGCGGCACCTTACTCCATTGACTAGGTGTGACACCTAGGAAAGTGAACCTTCTCAGTTACTGGTCTGAAGCTACAGGGCAGCACTACCCTTAAGTGACTGTTTTGTTCATTCAAAGCCACTCATTGCCAGTTTCTTACACCTTTACTTCTTCAAGATACATCTAGAAGCATACCTGTTAAATGTTGTTTTCAGTTAGGGATTTCTTTGGAAATAGACAAAATAATTGGAAAAATAGTAGTTCTGTTACATTTGAAAGCTTATATGAAGTTATATGTTGAAAGTTGGTGTACTTTTGCCTTCTTGTTACTAAAATAAGTTTTAAGACCATTGAGTCAATTTTCGTTTAAATATTTCCTCTCAATATATTTGCTGGAATATTACCTTCTCATTGACAATGAGGTCATATCCTGTAGATACTTTCATGTCTTTTCAGAATAATGTTTGTATTTCCTTGTTGACTTGACAGCTCTTTAATTAGAGACCTAATATTCCTGAGCCAAGTAGCACGGGGAAGGGGTTTATCTCCCCAGAGAGCTGAGGCTCGCAGTTATCATTCTTTACCTTATCCTCTCTTCATAGTCAGTGGACAACTCAAATCAAACAGGCACCTCTAAAGGGCAATTTGCCTGTCTTGTGTTAGGATGAGAAGGACCACAGTCCTGTGGACCACAGTTTGCCGTGCGTGGTATTTTTCTTAAGCACTAATTACAACAAGGTTTATCAACAGTGAACTCAGCTGTCATGACTGTATCTCTGCTGGGAAGTGAAATGTTGTATTTCTGATTATTAAAAGAAACATACCAAACAAAGACGAAAGCCTTGCGCTAAATTATTTGCTGTATTTTTGCATAAGGCAGCACTGCTTCTGAAAGGTAATGTTGTCAAAGCAGTAACAGATCAGAATTAGAAACGTAATAATGTGGTTATTCAAATATCTTGGACAGTATCCACATGGGAGAAACCGGCCGGCTTTGTTTCATCTTCAAATGAGAAGAGTAAACGTGACAAGCATTCTGAAGAGCTTGCAGAAACAGATTCCAAAGAGTCTGAATCAGACTCGGAAGACAGTGAAAATGAAACAAATTTCAAGGTAAGTTCTCTCTTCAGATTTATTTTACATACAGTGCTAATTTTCTAGCATAAGATGATCTATCTTTTATCTCTGTGGTAGGCTGAACTCATTGTAATGAGGTTAAACAGTATGACTGAAAGTAGAAGTTTGCACTTTTGAATTGTAAAATTAATCTTTATTCAATTATTTGGCCTATTAGTGGCACCGTTCCAGAATACAGAGCATGATCTTTTCTTCAGCCCACCAGAAGCAGGTTAGATTCTGCAAGAAATGTGATGTTCTCTGAGAAAGGTCACCGTCATCTCTCTGAAATAATCCACAAAGTGGTTTGGATTTCAGTTTGAGGATGACTGCTAACCTTTGTTTGTAAATGTGACTGCTAAGAGACCTTCAGGGAACACCTTTGACTGAAGATGACATGGTTGTAGGTTCTTTATTAATTGAAAAAAACATTGGCAGCATATAGTACAAAACTTCTATTAATTATATATTTTTGTCTTCAGATTGAAAACTTAAGATAAAGGGTGTGATTATTCCTCGGGTTGGGTCAGGTGGTTCTTCTGAAACTGGTAGTTCAGAACAGGCAGAAACTGTTTAAATATAAACGTGTTCATAGACAGGTGTTAATTCTAAAATATATATGTTTGTACCACCGTGCATCATTTTTAGCTACTACCAGGTATTAGCCGTAAAGCGTGTGTACCTGCATGCACAGAAAGCTGTATGTTAATTTTGGCTCTTTTTTAAACATGCTGAGCTTTGTTTTTAAGTGAGTTTATGTTGGCTACTTCGTGCTAACTTCAACCTTGATAGATGGGATTTTCCACCTTCAACTTTTTGTAACATTTAAGATTTTTTTTCAACTCTATGTAATGAAAGCTCAAGGAGAAAATTTAAAGATTTTATTACAATGTGAGTTTACTGTTTCAAGTTACTCTTGGTTGAAAGTATAAGTAGTAGATAATAGTAAATAAAAGATGTAAAATAAAGCTACATTGTGTTTTTATTTAGGCGTTTTTGCTTAAGGTGGGTTTTTTCCTCTTTAGAGGAAAGGAGATAATGGTGAAGAATCAGAGAAAGGGAAAAAATCTACCAAAGCTAAAAAGTTAAGTCCTTATGGGAAATGGCGAGAAGTTAAGCCAGCAGAAACTGCTGATAAAGAAGAAACCTCTAGTGATGTACCTAACAAGACCAACCCTTATGGAAAATGGAAACCAATTAAAGAAGAAGAAGAGAAAGAAGAAGAAGAAGAAGAACCATGGTAAGGATCTTTTAACCATAGTTATTTTCATAATTTTTGTTTCCAGAATACTTGTTTTGAAGAGTTGAAGCTTTTTCTTTTGAATTGTGGCATAGTTAGCATAGCAGTGGTTGAAAACGTAGCCCAAATACAATTCTTTCCTCACTGATTATTTTAAGCAGTAGCTTTCCGTGATGGAAAGTGGTGGTGTTTTGGTTTTAGTGTAGAAGTTCAAACTAAATTAAAGTGATTTCAAGGATCATTGCCATCCATCATTTTTCTCAGAGGCTGAGTATCAACTATTTAAATGTAGCTACTCTAAGCCGATGTTCCTTAACATCGTCTCCCTTCAACAGTCTGGTTCAGCTGTGTCAGGAGTTCTTGTGACTTATTTTTTCAACTGCTTCCAGCCTTAGAACAGCATAAGCAGCTTTATCAGGGCCTCTAGCTTCCAGGCTAAATTCTGTTTCTTTCTCATTCATCACTAGTTAGGCTAATTGTGCCTGGAATTCAAGATCTATCTTGATATTCCAGGGCCAGCAGCAACCTGATCTTGATCACACTAGGTTAGCATTGCTTTGAATTCCTTCCCTGTGGGATCAATGGTTGCTGACATAATAAGCACACTTCATTTTAGACTCCGAGCAAGTTTTACCTAAGCCTGGTATGTTTGGCTGAGTTACTTTCACAAGCAGTGAATTATTTCTCACTTTGTGGTGTTGTACTGACTCTAACTGTTCACTTGAAGAACAGCCTAAAGGACACAGCAATTTTTTTGTCTTACTTTCACCCAGTATTGCAGTAAAAGACTTATGGTTGGACTGGTTTTCTTGCTCCCTAACTTACTTTGTTTCAAAACAAAGTTAAGCAAAACTAAAACAAAATCCACTACAACCTTTTCTGCTTTCAGTATGGGTAAGTCCTAGAGGCTCTTATAATGTAGTGGGAGACGCTTTCTGTAATGAGTTAAGTAAGGAGTTAAAAGACAAAACGTGTAATCTAGTTATGCCAATTTTAAATCTGGAAGCTGTCTTTCCCTCTCATGTCCAACTGATGTACTGCAGATGTTTTGATGACATACATCTGATCAGGAAGTTTGTTTCATTTTGTTTTACTGCATAATGTTCATTTTCTTGTGATGCATGATGTCTTTCATGGGCAGTTTCTTGTTATGGGGCCCTCTAGAAGTCTGGAGAAATTAGGTTTGAGAAAACGAAATCATTTTTTTCCCTCATACTTACCTCATTTTACACTATTTTCGTTTTAAATTATTCAGCAGATAGGGTTTTGATACTGTTTGAACTAAATTAAGCACTGATATACTTCCGTGGAGATGATAACGTCACTTGATCAGTGCACGTTAGAGCTCCTGCACTGGACCAGCTAACCGATCCTCGACTCCAGAGCTGATAAATTCCTCTGGGTTTTTCAAAAGCGCTGTGCAATGGAAAGTGCTTTAAGCTACTGAACCTTATATATCAGTCTGTACATTAACACACAGTCTTGGTATAGACACACATGTGACTGAGATGAACGCAGTCGTGCATTACATATTTTTAATTGGGACTTGGCACAGTGCTAACCACTTTTAGGAGGTTTGCATTTTAGGGATACTGCAACAGTTGCATTTTCTTGACTTGTAGTCATTTTCATGGATCTTTTTTGGGTGCTTGAGCTGATCCATGTCTTCCTTGAAGCATGGAAGCTGAAGCTAGGTGTAGTAGGTGAGTTGGCATCAGACTAACGCTCAGTAGTATTGAAGGATTTCTTATAAGGATTGGTCAATTGGTCAGGAATACAATGTGTATCTCTTTGCAATGGTGTTACGATGATGTGATTCCTGATGGACTTGTGGTTTATATAATTTTCTGCAAACTTTTGAGTTGTTCTCCATCGTGTGTTTGTGCCACAGGTTATTCTTGTAGAATAACCCCCATGACGGGGGGATTGGAACTAGATGATCTCTGAGGTCCCTTCCAACCCTAACCATTCTATGATTCTATGAACACAGTGTTTTGCTGTTGACCTCCTAAAACCAGTTGGTCATTTTTAGATGATGTCTTTGATTTGTTGAGATCAGTCTTAGCTGTGATCCTGTCCTCCATTGCTGCTTCTCCCAACTTGGGATCACTGGCTGATTTGGTAAGCCTGTTTTCTCTCCTGTCATGCAGACCCTCAAGGATGGTCACCTGTGGAAAACTGCTCAGCAGCATTTTGGCAGTGAACCGTTGCCAATTACTCACTGACTACTGTTTTTCAACATTCTTAGATTTACACACATGCAGTCCTGTTGTCTTTTACAGGACAATTTTCATTCTGAGTGCTTGGGCCATGCTATAAGCTCTGTAGAGAATGAGGTCTTAGTTTATTGCTCTTTATGTGAGCTCACACAGAAGAAACAAAGAACATGTTTTGTTTTTTTCTTGATCCCTGTCACGATGATGATCTTGGCTAGAAGACTGCATCTAGCACAAAGCTGCTCTGACGATTAAATATGGATGTTACTGTCTGCAGTACACCATGTTGTTTTCTCCATTTAGATTAACCCTTCTATGTTTTCCTTTCTCTCCCAGTGAAAAAGTGGACCTGGAGCTTCCTAGTACAGAAGGTGACAATCTACCACCTCCAGTGCTAGAGGACCCAGAAGATGAGCCAGTGATATTTAAAGAGAAGACAGTCACCTCCCTTGGAGACCTGACAGAAGGGGTGCCAACATTTAAAAAGAGGAAATTTGAAAATGGAAAATCTAGAAACTTAAGACAAAGACTAAGTGATCAGTAAAATTTCACAAATCATTTTAGATTCTCTTTAAGCTAGAGTGAATCAAAAGTTTAATATTTTAAACAGGCTTTTATAAAGAAAATGTTGGATAGAAATTAAGGATTTATAGGTATTAAAACGTACGTGAGTTGTAATATTTTTTTATTTTATTTTGATGTGATTGATTTTGGAATGGAAGTTTGTGTTATATTACTTATGCAATATTGTAAATACATTTTATTTTTTATTTTAACCAGGCCATCTAAGTTTGATTTGCTCTATGTATGCTGTTTCAAATACATCGTGTAAGGTTTTTTACTCGTTTTCTAAGTATGGGAGAATGTAGTAATCCTTAATCTGGCAAAAATTATGCAGACCTTTTATTTTTACAGAGTAATCAGATCCATGGCATGTACTAGAGAGTAAAATCATCCCCCAAGATAGTTTATGTGGAGTAGTTTCCCAACTAATGAGTAAAAATACTGTGCTTACTAACCGTTGGCTGATCGCTTGCAGAAGAGTAGGTGGTGAGAGTGCCAACATTTCAAACAGACCATTTGAAAGCTGTTTTTAGAGGAGTTAGTCATATCAGTGCCACTCGTTTCGAATGATGTTGTGAAAGAAGTTGTCTACGTGCACGATAAACGTATTAAACCTCTGCAGAATATTTAAACCTGTTGAATCTTAACTTTTGTTAACAGCACCAGAGCCACCTCTGTTGAAGCAGATATTTCTGTGGTGTCTTCCTGTTGTGTTTTGCTTTTTTATTGTCTCTACTTGAATTTTTCTTTCTTTTTACACATCAAGTTTTCTTTTTTTGGTCTTGTTTTCTTTTTGTCCCTTTCCCTGTAAAAAACAATTGCCAGATATCCTCATGAAGAAATATTCCAGAGACCTGGCTGTGCTACAGCATACAGCACCCTTTTTGAGGCTGATGGGTTTTGTCTGTTGGTAAGAGGAGTGCGTTGAGTAGTTGCAGCGTTCGCTCAGCTGAGATGGGCTAAGTGTATTGAAGCTTCATTGTCCTCAGTACCGTAGGAGGGGAAGACAGAAGCTGAATAAGTAGAGCTGATGGCTGTACTGGCCAAGATGGCTTGGACATTTTCTTAAGGACTGCAGATTTGATTTCTTCACTTGGTGAAATTGGTCTGAATTTAGTATCATCAGGATTCATTGGCTGCCTAAGAATACAGCTATGCTCATTGCTCCTCTAAGGTATCAAACAGTGGACCATAGAGGTTCAAAGCATGACTCCGTTAAAAAATACGTCCCTATTTCGAAAGCTCCAGGTGTTTTGTGCAGGAGACTCTTAGTCAAGAACAGAGAGTGCAGTTAAGACATTCGTCAGAGTCCAGCTACAGCAAAATAGAGGTGATAACTGCTGAGCTTGAACTTCATTAGGAAAAAAACTGTTAATTTGTCAGATCAGCAGAGGAAGGAGTGCAAGACAGGGAATGTGGTTTATCATGTATTACAAAGGAAGCTGAAGTCCTTTTTTTCTATTTTGTGACATTTTGTCTGTGTGTAGGAGAGAATTAAGTATTGTATTTAATCCCATGTTTTCTTCAGCTTCATCAGGCTTGTTACATTTCTTCTGATGTTTGTTTAGAGAAATTTGAAAGTTTCCTGTAATACCTAGCGCTGGATTGTCGTTTAGAGATGCAGGATGCATGCTGGATGCTCACACAGTCATAGATGCAGGAATGTACAACATGCACTTCACATGAAAGACCTCACGTGCAAGGCTGGAACAGAAAGGTCCTTTCTGCCGAGGTTGTCAGGTTTCTTAAAACTCATATTTTTCAGGTTTTGTTCTTACTCTTACTTGAACATTACTCCAGCAGCCAGGAGCCTGCTCTAACTTGAAGCCTCTGTGTGTTTGTGACCAGTTTACACTCATTTCCTCCCAGTTTACACAAATATTGGCCTTCAGTTAAGTAGCTTTTCATCCTCTTGAATCCATCGTGTCTTCTCTCTTCTGAATCACATAAAGCGTCCTTGTGTGACAGGACCTTCAGTGCTCCACTAGCACTTGCTCTTCATCCATTCCAGCCTGAGTTTGCCTGGGCTCTATATTCAAGGAAGATGAAGGCCCCGCGTGATGTCACTAACACTTCCTTAGCGTATTGGAAATAACTCTGGATACGTCCCTAAGCCACATTTGCCTTTCACATGACTGCATCATGCTGTCGGCCGTGGGTGCCCTGTGATTTACCAGTACAACTAGCTCTTTCTGCTCCTTTGCCGTTGCCAACTGCTGAGTTAACAGCTGATCATGTTTCCCTTTCAGGGACTTTGGTTTTTTTTCTTACAAATTTGGTTTGTACTGCTGTTCTCATCCAGCTCCTCTTTCTCCAAGCCGAAAGTATATTCATTTCTTTATGATTTCTGCAAAATGCTTTTATTGTTTATTAGTAGAGTTTTATACAGTAGTATAGTTTTTGTGGGCTTGTAATATCCTCTGAGGAGGACATCTTTCCTTAAAAATGTTTTTTTCACATTGATTTGTAATATCCTCTGAGGAGGACATCTTTCCTCTTCTAGTGAATGCATCTTTCCTTAAAAATGTTTTTTCACATTGAAGGGGTCATAGGCAGCGATTTAAGATACCTGTAACTAAATTGCTCGAGCAGATGTTTAAAAACATCTGAAAATAAAAGTGTTTAAAAACATCTGAAAATAAAAGTGTTCAAAACTTGTTTCCTTGAGGAGCTGCTGTTAGTTGTAATATGAACCAAAGGTCTTGGTCACGTACTGTGTTTAACAGACAAACCAAAACAAGTATTTACATTAGGAAAAAAGATTAAATGTTTTCTTTACTGCTAGTAAAGTTCATTTAAATACCATACACTTGCTTTTGCTGCTCTGACTTCTAAAGCCTGAATTTCACAAAGAAATACAGCGCTTTGCTCCCCACTACCTCTGCAAGTCATTTTGAAGAGAGACCAGCTTATTCTTTGTCCTTAAGTGTGAATTATAGTAAGGGCCAGTGGAATCAAATTTCATATATCCAAAGCCACTATTTAATTTTGCACCGTGCTGTCATTCAATTTCCTTCTGTGTATCTAAACTAAATATTTTCTCTTTTATACAAAAATACTGTCTTGTGTGAGATTTAAGGCAGACGTTGCTTTTCCAGGACATCTGTTCTGCACATATCTCTCTCCATTCTGTGCTATCTCCCTGCAAAATCTTCTGCCTTTGGAATTTGCCATAGGAATCCTCCAGGTATTATTACACTCCTCATCTGCTAATCCTTCCTTGGGCTGCACTGGCTTTTGATTAAGGAATGTTCCTTTTACTGTTTCAGAAGAAGAAGCTGTTTTGTTTTCTGACTAATCCATTTTCTATCACGCAACATGTTTTCATCTGCATGCCTGCATTTATTGCAAGCTCCTTGAGTGAGGACTATGTCCTTGGTTTTATAGGCTGTCAGAGACATTATTAGCAACACGAGGAGAGTTGGAAAGGGGGAGTCGCTGCGATTTCTGATGATGATTTCTTTTGTGTGATGATTTCTTTTGTGTGGTTTTGAGTAAGTCAATTTGCTGCTCTGTATCTTTGTTCCCTTGCCTCATCTCTCACCTGTCTTGTCTGTTTAGAAGGAGCTTCACAGTACAGGCTGCTTGTCTTTGGTGTGTGTTTTTTTAAAGTAGGGCCTGCCTGAATTTGGTGGTGGTTTTAGAAGCAAACATATTGCGTATACTAAAAAAAAATAAAATTATTTTGTTACGCCAGAAGCTGTGTAGAGACCTGCTCAGTTTGACCCAGGTTATAGAATAATTCTTGCTCCTATTTAGGCTAAGCCAAATTTTAACCCTTCATCTGGGAATTTGTAGATTGAAACCTAGACTTTCCCAATAGGGTAAAGTTTGGTTTTTGTTTGATTCTTGTAGACAAAATCCGTGCTGCAGCATCATCCAGTCCCAATATTCAGATTTAGAAGGCGGGAGGGCTGGTCATGACATGGATCTGCGTTAAATTCCCTAAATGGTGCATGTATAAAAACATTTTTCCTCCTCCCCCTACCCCCAAAAAACACATGATATTTCAGTGCATATTTTGGCATTTCAGAAAGGGAGTAAAAAACTATTTAATGCTGCTTGGTTTCCTCGATTTGCTTTTTGAGTTGTGCCTCCTCTCTTTAGTACTTTTCTTATTATTGCCATCTTCCTCAACCGTCTTCCTCCAGCACTCCTATATATGCAAATCTACCTATCACCGCTGTGCCGCCTTTCTAGCTTCCACCTTCACCTTATTCCCTGCTCTACTGAGATCTTCAGAAAGCTTGACGTTCTGTCACGTAGGCCACCATCTCTCCAGATCCCAGCTTACGCCAAGCGCTTCTGCTGCCCGTTTGCCCTGAAGAAGTACAACCTTACCGGTTTTCAAACGACGCGCAAGCTATTTCAAGACCGACTACGTGTGCTCTTTTGAGCTTCGTGGCAATTTGTTTTCCTGAGGCACGTTTCATTCCATTACTCCTACAGGGTTTGCAGCTCTTAAATCGTTTCGCTCGTTGGTACAAAACCTGTCTGTATACCTTCTGCTATCTGCAGCCTTCGGCGCTGTTTTGTCAGCTGCATCTCTTCGGTCTCTCTTGTATCTACCTCTTAGGTCCTCTTACCTTCTACCTGCTAAATTATTCGACTTAGAAATCATGTTAACCAGTTGTGTGATTAACAAATCTAGCTTTGTGAATTGTTTCAGGATATAGCTTGAATAAAAGTTTCTGTACAAAGCAAAAAGCGTTGCAGATAATAACCTGAAAAGGGCTACGTTTGCCCAAGAGGATTCCCAGGGAACGTCAGCAAAGGCAGATTTGATTTTGCCCGTAACAGCAGAAATTGCCTATGATAAAAACCAGCAGAGAGCATTACACAGACCACAGGCTGAAGACAGTGGATTTTAATGGCTTGCTTAATGGAAGATACAGTGAAGAACAGTGAGTGGGTGATTGAAAAGCGCTTGTTTTAGTTTGTAAGTATTGTCTGCAAAGTTAAACAGCTCGTTTAACAACTTCTCAGTTGCAATTACAAAACACTGCAAGCTCTTGAAGTGGAGTTTATATGAAAATACCTAATAAAGCTTTCATCTGAGCAATCTGTAGTACTGCTGTTCATCTGTTCAAGGGGTTTAGGACAACCCGAGAGATTTATGGGTGCGTGTTCTGTTAAAAACGGGCCCTGGGGAAATGGAAACCACGATAGGTATGTAAATATGGAAATGCTTCTTAAAAGAAATACTTTTATTTTGTGGTCACCAGCATAGTGTCTGGGTGCCTTCCAGTAGCGCATTAAGCAAGTTACTGGAAACTGTTTTATTCTGTGCCTCAATTTTGAGTAGCAAATGACCTGGGTTAAAATTGTTAATTTCAAAATTCTTAACAGAGTTCAAGTAAGGTCTGTTGTAGTTACTGTTTAGTAACATTCAGACTATAGCAGAATTATGTAAACTTTCTGATGGTAACAGATTGTGATTCAGTAGTGTTCATATTTGCTGGTGTTAAGAATGCTGAGCAATGCCCTCAGAGTTAGAGATACATGCTTTTAAAAGGTGGGGAATACATATAAATTATTCCATAACATTTCTTTCACCGAAAAAAAATCTTTTTGTCAACATGATCTTTTGGCAACTGTTTTCTACAGAAAAGGTAAAATCTATTCAGCTGTACTAAGCAGCCAGAAAAAAATGTTATGACGCAGACAAACAGTTCTGCCAGACCAGGAAATATTTTTGTTGCTAATAGCACTGGGTTATTTCTTCCTTTTAGTTAAATGAGAAAAAGCAGCTTGCTACTTCCTCCAGTGAATAAATTAATTTGTAGTTCCAGGATTTCTGAGGAATTCCCTTGTGCGTTCTGTCGATGATTAAATGAAAGTCATCCAGGTGTAAGGTACCAGGGCTGTTATTACGCAGAGGGTAAGCATCCATCTTTCCACCAACATAAAAAGGGCTACTTCCAGGCTCAGCTTCCGTCTGGCTTCCTTCTTTGCTGGCTGAGGCGCTGCCGCTCGAGACCTCAGCAGGGAAATGAAAGAGATCCAGGAACCACGTTTCATGTCAAACACCAGGATCTGAGGAGATGAAGTTGGTGCCTTGCACTAGCTGCAACACATCTGTGCGTAAGGTCTCAGTCATGCACACCACTGATGATGGTGAGGGGAAGCCGGGTGGGCAGGTGGGGCTTTGGTCTGGTTGTTGTAATGCCATTTGACCACGGAATACGAAGCTGCAGGAGGAGGCTGTTCCTACCAGCTGAACCTGCCTCTTGCTCTGCTCTCCCACAATCACTTGTGCTGTCTTCAGGGCCTTTGCTGCCTTCCAAGGAGCCGCTTTCCTTTTCCTCCCTGTGCTTTATTATAATTTTCCCTGCTAGTGGTTTCACAGCTGACAGTCAGGGCTGCTTGTAGGGACTAAAAAGCCCAAGTCCAGAGTGTTCCATCCTGAAAATGCCTCAGAGATGGCATTGTTATACCTCATATCCCTTCCATGAGGACAAGTGCCAGCCCACAGCCAAAACCCATCACAACCTCTCAGTTCTTACATCCCACAGAAAGACTGACGTGGAAGAACTTCAAAGTAAGGCTTCAAATAATATTTTGTAAGTTAGGAAAAAAGAGCTTTAAATGATGTTTTTTCAATGAAGAGACGCAAATATACCCGGTTTTAGTAATGACCTCCAGTAGAAGGGGGTCTGCTCTGTATCAAATTCTCGGACATAACTGAGCATAGCTGTACCTTGCTTTCGTATACGGGTATGAACAATCGCAGGATAAGCTTAATAAGACAAGATGCGCTTCAGAATGCGCTGGACCAGGGTGGGAGAAGGGATTTAACTTCTAAATTTCAATGCCTGCTTTGGAGACATCTAAAATCAAGGAGAGCTGCCTTCTGCTTTCCCCTTTCTCATCTCTCTGCGCAAAACCATCAGCAACAAAGAAGGGCTACAGAAAATTCATTAGCTTAGTTGCAAATATCCCTAAGGTCCTGCAGTCAAAACATGACCTTCTTTCTTCCAGTAACATGAGACTCATTTTTAAAAAGTGTTTTAATGGTTTCTCATAGTAAAGAACTTCATAGGCGTTACCCAAGCCTAGAAGTACAAACTGATTATTTAAAAGGCGTGCTTTGTAAGTAATTTCTAAGGTGGTTCAAGATTAAAAAAATAATTTAATTAATTAATTAATTAAAAAAAAATAAAATAAATTGGTTTGCATCATGACAGTGAGCGTGGTAATCGGATAAACACGTTAACTGGATACTCTCCTATTACAGCTGATCATATTAGTTATTGCTGGTCTGTCAGCACTGCACAAGTATAAGCTGAGTTGTGGATCTTCTTGCATATCTGAGGTCTTTCTTTCCTGAACTGCTTACTGCAAGTAGTCAAAGTTCAAGCATGCAAATGACTCTAAGTCACACGGTAATATGTTTCCTGATTGACTTATAGAGCTATAAATAAATTAAAAAAAAAAAAACAAACAAAACAAAACCAAACAAAAGCTGTCGTAACTAAAGTGCTGGAAGCAAGTCAAAAACTGTCAGACAAAGCTTGCTGATAAGAATGTGCAAACACACAAAAGAACTGAAAAATAATTCCAGAATTGAGAAACTGAGTACAGTTTTCCTGCTTTCTTCCTGGTACAAATTCTGTCTTTCTTAATATAACTGAATAAAGTTAAAACTGTTGTTTGTTATATATACAGTAGTAAAAACTACACCATTTAGAAGAACTCAGTATTGAAATACTTCTTTTTCTTAAAATGACATTTTCTCAGTCCTGTATCGTTTGTGATCGCAAAATACATGTGTAAATACAAATCAACCACAAGGTGCAATTTAAATCGTAACAATGAATTGATCCTTCGCATGCAAAACATTGTGCAGAGCCGCTTCGCAGCATATCCAGGGAAGAGCAGGACGAAAAGAGAACACCATGATCTAGCAGAGTGCCTCCGTATTTTTGTGCAACGTCGAACACGTGAGTGTTCCCGAATCGCTGCGTACCACCACCGACTG